AGAGGGTTTAGAACGACCTACGTAAGATTAAAAATAGAAAAAAAAGGCAGGACAACAATTGAATCCGAAGAAATGCTATATAAGTTAAGAGAAAGTAGCGGATTATATGTATTTTGGGGCTGTGCACCTATTATCGCAGATTCGTTCCCCACAAGAAACGAGGAGAAACGTTGTGAGACGCTCTCGTACGCGAGAATGAATCGTGTCTGACCCTATTAAGTATATAGATATAGACATGTCTGTTAGTCCGTCCTTTGTCCTTCCTAGATCCCAGAGACTATAGGAGCTAGGTTAGGTTAGGTTGGGTATTTTTGCGGGTGACACGTCTTCCATGCTTCGCCAATTAATATTTATAATAACTTCGTGTACATTTATTTATCAACAGTTATATCCCATGAAAGATTCAGTATATAAACACGATTTAAATTGCATCTTAAAGCAAATGTATATAATTACTTATTTAATCTTTCTATGGCGAACCTATTTCCATTTTTCCCCAGGACACTAATGATTTGGAAATACAGCTTGATACAGTTTTAAAGTCTTCGTCGGAGGAAATAGCAGCTAAGGCCCTGACTGAGCTAAGCACTTTTTCCCAACTGAAGTACGACAAAAAGAAAGTAGATTCCACTTTTCAAACTACTTTTGATCGAAATTTTAAGAGTGGAACACAAGATTTGCAAACCCATACATTATATCCAAGTCCTTTTCAACCAAGCAATGTTGAAAGTGATGAGACTAAATCGCAATCTAAATGTATGTCTGGGCAAATACATGACCGATTCGATTCAGCATTTCATAAAGATTCTGATATTGAACAATTTCAAAGCATGCAACAGCAACTGGAGACTGCTGCGGTTCTTATGGATATAAGTAAAAAAATTGTAATTTCACCTCCGTGCTCGAATCCTCAATCTCCTCGAAATTCTGCAGTAATTGATACAAGTATTAAAAGTTCTGTGATAAAATCAAGACGTCCATCAAAGAAAAATGATTTTTATGAGGGAGTTGAAATGGATCTTTCCGTGAAAAAGAAAAGGTATGATTATTCAAATCAAAGAAACTCAATCCCAATACACAATTTTTGCCAAACTCCAATACAATCACATAGAAGTGAAGAGGATCTTCAGAACTACAGTATTACCATTACCCAACATGGCGGGTCAGATTATAAACTTACACCAATAATAAAAACGAACAGCAGTTCCTTGTTAGATTCTGGAGACAGTTCTGACTCTCATAAACTGGAAATGGACATAACATCGTCCATCAATGATAGAAAGACTCCCGATAGTGTCAGCTCGGATCACACAACAGACGCGGCTACCACTCAACTCTGGCAAGCTCTGGCACGATCAGCTGGTAAGTTCAATTTTAAATATCGAGTAGGGCAGAATGCTCAATAACTTATGTTGTTATGTATACTGTCGTAGATATGCCCCACTGAGTTTATCGTCTACAATTCCCTAGACATGCGATTTTATCAATTGCCTAGGGTGGTTTTATAAACAATCGCGAATCCTCAATAAAGTGTGCCAGTTTCCTCCAGTTGTTTGCTTTCCAGGCTGTCCATGTCCTTATAGCAGCCTCCTCTTAGTGTACGGTGACGTCTTCCCGTAAGTTGGAGAGGAGGTGCTGGACACTATCTCTATTTGCTCCCCGTTCATGCAACTGCGACAGAAGTCATGGTGGGGCAGTCCGGATGTGTAGTGCCCCGTTATTTAGAGTCCCACAGCAAGCACTTTCCCGTTACCAGTATGGTAGTAGGTGTAAGCATTTTACTTACAGATAGGCTGCTCGGGGAATAGACGGGCATAGAACATACATTCATACGTACTACATACGTCGTCATACATTATGTACATACAAACATAAATACTACATACATTCGACTCGGAGCTTGTCTCTCCTTTAGCTCCTCCACTAGAGCCCACACTGCACGAGGATGAGAACAAGTTAAGGGGACGTGTTGGCGTGAGCACTGAGTAAAAGAAAATGTATAATTTTAAGATACAAAAATCATAAGGTTACACACTGATTACCGGGAAATTCGGAATTTACCTTTAGTCTGAATTCAATCTGGAATTGTTTGGTCATATTTATCCATAAAGCACCACAATAAACTTATTTATTTACAATGTAAATATAAAGTGAAAAGTGAACAATTATGGAAAAGCTCAGTAGCTAAAAATACATAACAAAAATACTTTAACATGGATACATTTTTTAGGGGTATCATTTATATAAAATATGTTATTGAACCCTTTTAGCTAAAAACAAGGAAGAAGATGCAAAAGAGATGCTCCGCAACATGATGAGTCAGCCTTTCGTATTTCCAGTGCCGTCAACAGTATCATTTACAAAAGTACCTGAAGAACCTATAGCGCTATTGAAGGTAAATAACCTAGCTCCGAGTGCATGTTCCTTTTTATTATTATTTTTTTAAAACAAATATAAACTTTTAATTTGCAGGACCTATCAGATGCTCAAACCAGCAAATTAAAAACCTGTAGAAGAAAACAAAGTTTTCCCACTAAATCCGATTGCAGCGACACAAATAATGAAAAGGGGACAGAAACTTACAATCATTCAGATCCATTCGATCCAGAAGACACAAAAGATAAAAAGGTTCTTATAAATAAACAGCAAATATATATAATAATTTAAGTCCTACATTATTAGAGGATTCACATTTTTAATGCCTTACCTGGTGTTCAGAAAGACATGTCTTGTTCTAACTGTGGAACTCTTACCACAACGATTTGGAGGCGAAGTGTTCGAGGAGAAATGGTGTGCAATGCATGTGGCCTATATTTCAAGCTTCACGGAATCAACAGACCACATTCAATGAGACGCGATACCATACACACAAGACGCAGGCGTCCTAAAGAATTGGAGAGATCTAAAAAAAGTGAGTAAATAACTGAAGTCAAAGCTTTTTCTATATCTATTGAATGTCAACTATACCGTTCTCGTCTAATAGAAGCAAAAAAAAACGTAGGCCGCACCTTCACCTTATCGTTCATAAAGACAATTTATTTCCAGAGAGTTTAAATGAGAATAACTAGTTTTACCGGTATTCAGTTTATGTTTTAAAGCTTAATTTTTAACCTCGGTACCATGAAAATTCAAAGAATGAGAACAATCATCCAGGCTTACAACCTAAGTAACTTGTACAAAGTACAATCCAAAACCTAAGTAACTTGTACAAAGTACATTCCAAAGAACCAATTTTTTCACAGAATCGGTTTAAATAACGTTTAAAATAATAGAAATATTGTATTTAAGTTTTAAAAGCAATTACCAATCAAAGTGTTTTAAAGCTCACGAGAAATTTTAACCTTTTAAGAAGCAAATATTCACCGGCAACAAAATGCAATATACGTAAGCCAATAATTTTATGCACACCCATATATGTAGGGTGAAAGTCACGCTTCAATTGAAATAAAACGTAAGATAATTCAGGAAATTGGTAATTTCTTTTTTTTCTGTTTACAGAACAAAAGCAAATATCTTGCTCTTCAATGGAACAAGCGAAAATTGATTTTTTGACGTCTCAAGAACAAATTAACATTTCCGGTCTTGTTTTAAATGTAAGTATGCTATTAGTTTACTTGAATGATTTCAATTTTTTTAAATTCTTAATAAAAAAATTGTCTATCATCAATTCCTGATTCTATTTCAGAAACGCAAAAAGGAAATTGATGAAACCGAAGCTGCAGCAGCACTCAAAGATATTTTATTAAAAGGCAAAAAGTCGAATTGCTTAGCGTCGTTTAGTGACAGCTGTGAGACTGCGGAATTGACTGTGCCGCTTAATCTTGTTTCCAGTGAAAACAATTCGAAGTTTACATAAAACGCCAAAAAAATGTGTGTGTTAGACTGTTAACACAAATTGTTTTTATTAATAATCCCTCGCAGAAGGCGAACAAAAAGGTGTAGAATTAATTAATCCTAAACATTATAAATATAAGTTTAATCCTTTAAATCTAAATTTGATTAATTTTTATCAATAGAAACTAATACCAAAATACTTTTAGAATAGGGCTACATAAAATTTGTTCTTGTAAGTTGAACTTTTTTAAATAATATCACAACTAACAAGCTAGGCAGGCATTAAGCAAGGACATAAGTACTTAATGCATCTAATACAAATAAAATCTTTTATTGATATTTATTATAACCTTTTTACAGTATTTTCAATATTTTAAAACCACTACTGGTTCTATGGATATTACATTGGAATTTAACAATGAATTTTTAGCTTTCATCGCAATTTCAAATTTATCTAATAACAAAAAATTGTTTAAATCTCTTGCCTATATGAAAATCATGTGATAATATAATAATCTCCATAAACATTTTAATAGTAAAACTATGCAAAAAGCAATAATTATATAATCCACAATTTTCAAGGAAATATTTAAATTGTATACAATTATAAGACATTTTACTTTTAAAAACCATATGCTGTTTTCGAACCTACATAAATCCAATTAAAATAGGGACTTACAATTATGATAAGATAATAGATTAATGCACATTTATTTTTTCAAATATAATACTCAACAAAATTTTTAAAAGTCGCAGTACTTTTTAATGTCTAAAAACGCTGTTTCCCTATGGCTTCATTTGTACACAATTCTAGGGTATAGTTTCAGCCCGCTGCAACAAATAAGAGCAAATCCGCAAGTGTCTGCTGGTTGTTTCGTCTCTTGGCCTTTATTACTTTTCACTGATTCAAGGCTAAAAAGATTACCCATCTAATAACTGAGAAAAATAAAAGTGTACGGTAGTCGCGGGCTCACGTCTCCGTGCCTCGTAGGTTCCTACCACATCACGCGGTCTTACGGTTCGTAGGAGAGAGGATCGTTAATCAAAGCAGTGCGCCTTCACCTACAGAAATAAGACACACACTTGGCAAATATTCGTTAGCCTATATTCTCACGTAATTAAGATAGTGGGGCGAGTTATACCCTGTTAAAAAAAATACTAGAATATTGATTTTTATGATTTATTTACATACATCAGGATTAACTTTCCATAATATACTTTATATACAAACATTAATGCATGGAACTTTGTTCCCTAAATGCTCAAATATTATTTAAATTTAAACATGCAAGGCCATTTTACAAATTAGATGAACCTACGTCCAACACAGACAATGCTTCGTCCTTTTCTTCTTGCAACTCCTTTCCAGTAAGAGTTAACTTTGATTTGGCAAAGTCACTTAGGTCCAAACCCTGAACGATTTCCCATTTCTTATTTACAATAACAACTGGGAAAGAGAAAATAACGCCTTTTGGAGAGTTATAGCTGCCATCTGAGCATACGCCCATTGATACAAAGGTTCCCGGGGCGGTACCATTCCACCAGTCATGCATATGATCGCAAGCGGCTTTAGCTGCTGACATAGCAGATGACATTTTGCGAGCTGCAATTACAGCAGCACCACGCTTTTGAACAGTTTCAACAAAGGCACCTTGTAAAAAGGAAGTATCATTGACGGCATCAGCCACAGATTTTGTTTGACCATTGATAACCACTTTCCCTTGTCCAGCATCAGGGTACTGAGTGGATGAATGGTTGCCCCAGATAATTATGTTCTTAACATCAGATATTGGAACACCCAATTTTGTGGCTATTTGGGAGGTGGCGCGATTTTGATCCAATCGAGTCATCGCAGTGAAATTTTCACGTGGAATGGATGGTGCATAATTAGCACAAACAAAAGCATTAGTGTTGGCAGGGTTTCCAACCACAAGAACTTTGACATCTTTCTTTGCAAAGTTTTCAATTGCTTGTCCTTGTGCTTTAAAAATTTTTACATTTGCCGATAGCAGATCTTTTCTTTCCATTCCTTCTTTGCGTGGCATGGCGCCCACTAGAAAGGCGGCCGAAACATCCTTGAACCCAACCGCTGGATCTGTTGTTGGTATAACTTCACGTAACAATGGCAACGCACAATCCGCTAGTTCCATGACGACACCCTCAAGAACACCAACCATCGGCGGAATATCCAGCAAATGCAAGATGAGAGGTTGCTTATTTCCAAAAACTTCTCCCCGAGCTATCATGTATAGCAACGAGTAAGCAATTTGACCAGCAGCTCCAGTCACGACAACACGAATTGGTTCAGACTGAAATGATTAGAACCACATTGTTATTTATTTATTTCATTTCGTTTATCTTAATATATTTAAAAATTTGTTTATAAACACACCTCACCTTTAACTACGCCTAAAAAAACCAAAAGAACAACATATTGCGAATTTAAGCATGTATGCATGGGCCATCAACAAAATTAGCTTATTGATATGACATGACAACCCGAGTACCGGCTTTCAATACCATTATCTCTTATCTCTTGATTATCTCTTGATCGTGATTCTTGAGAAAAGTTTTCCCACGAAGCCTTTCTCGGCTAACCGAGAAATAGTTTTGCAAAAGGTTTTAATTACAATTTTGTTTTAAGTACGAATCTTGAGTTTGTAAAATTATATAGAACACATTTATAAGAAATTCACAATAATATATTGCATCAACTTTCTCTGAAATCTGCATTTTAATCGGACTACTCAAAAACCAATTCCGTATTTGACCCGTGGGAGTGGTTGCCTAAGTTCGACTGTAGCACCACTTATAGAGGTCTTTTAGAGGTACATATGTATATCATATTAGTAAAATAATTTTATAAATAATTTTGGACATTTTGCCGCTTGCAATGCGGTATGATCTTTGTAATTAATAAATATTTGTAATGAAATTATGCATATTTGTACAAATTATGAATTTTTCTTCCAGAAAGAAATAATATATGCGCACGGTCGGACGTTTTTCGAGATTATATTAGAGGGCGAATGAAAGTTGAATTTTAATAATGTAGATATGTTCATAAATATGTCCATACATATGTATGAATATTGATCATATGAACATGTTCAGAGAACGTATTTATGTTCGACATTGAATCGATTAAAAAAATATTGTAAACTTATGTAATTAATTTATTTAATAGCAATACAATATTTCCAGAAATATAATGTTCTTACCATTTTTACACTTTTTTTTAATAATGCACTTTAACTCAGTGTGACAGCAAACTTATGGATCAAATATATCATGAGACCCTTAGAAACATACCCAAATATACGTGCTCATTTTTAAAATATACCGTAAATATACCGATGACAAATAATTAGTCTTTTCATTTTACCCAACTACCTAGATCCGAAAACAGCTTTGCTGGCAAATTTTTCAATACATTTTTCAAGCGGCTGAGTGTGACCAGAGGTGTGAGTACATGTCGTACCGTTCCTCTTCTCAGTCAGCAGTTTTGTTTTGTTTACCATTAAAACAGAACATAAAGACAACATAAACTGGAGAAAAAACCCGCCGAAGTGGAAAGAAAAATTACCAGGCTAGGATGAAAAAAATGAATATGAATGAGAATATATGGAATTATTTGCATTGTTAATTTGCTTAATTTCTTCGAGCGCAGTCTGTTGCCAAGACGCATATCAGCTTGGCTGTTAACAAAAATTTTTAAGTTGTATTCCGTAGGTTGTAGAAGACTTACATATTTTCAAACTGCGAAATAAGCAATGGGAAATGTTAGATGTTTCCAAAAATATACAACCGTACGGAATACCGCTTACAATTCTGGTTGCACTTCGCCATATATTGCATATTTTGATAAAAAATCTCTGTTTTCTTAATTCTCTGAATTCTAAGTGAGAATCTGAGTACTAGCCCATAGGTAAAAGGACTTTCTTCTTTTCTTCTATGGAATAGTTTATTTTGGTATATTATTGAGGGCCATACTGTATATTCTATCAATACTTCCACGGTTACACTGGGTCTTACCCCACTAGTATAATTTTTAATAACAAAAACAACGGTTGTAAGCCTTAAAAAACAAAACTAGAAGTTACAGGTATAATTATAAAGTCGAAATCAAAAGACTAAGGAAATTCTGCCAACTCCATCAATGTTTGTTAGATGATTTGATACATTTACATACATATGTAAGTGGGCGGGCTGATAAACAGTCGGCATACCAAAGAATCGAATTTTTTTTTTAAATTTGTTTCCTATAGTTCTCGACGTATTTTTGTTAGCTCTATATAAGTTTTTAGTAAGGAATGTTTACCTTAGTGAATAAGCTCAGTTGTTCAGTGAGTGTGTGAACAAACTGAATCCGTTGTCCAGTTGCTCACTTATTCTCTCAGTTGGTCAGTTGTTCGCTTGCATTCCAAAATACTGTCGCTATGGTTTTATTGGTTGGTAAATCCACCTTAGCTCAGAAATGCTCTGAGAAGCTCACAGTTTGAACTATTTTAATCTCTGGTGTGTTTTGGGTCATCCACGTTTAATCCACGGATACAAAATGTTGCAGAAATTGGATCTTATTGTGGTTTAACCACGCCAAACACTCCTTCAAAGTTTCACACGATTTCGTTCCTGGTCCCGATCTTTTGGAAAGCTATTTTTATACCCAATTAACCATTCCAATCTTAAACCACTTAGCGATGCTACTAGGGCTTGCTAGAATTTAAATAAAAATTTCAACTTGGTAATTGTCTTTAAATTCTTTAAAATCTACAAAATAAACAATTAAATATGTAAACTCAGCGCTAACTATTTTTTACAATTATTTTTAGACTCAAAATGAATCAACTGAAGCAGGAAAACACACAGCACGAATCCTTATGTGTTGAGGCTTCAAATAATAATTTGGTTGAAACTAATTCCGAACCAAACATGAGGGAATCACCAATTGCAATTACAGAAGAAATAAATCAAGTTGAAGTTGACTCTTTCTGTAATAACTACAACAGTACTGAAGAATTATTACAATTACCGACAAAAGAAACTCGTCGTAAGGAATGTTATTGGTTGAAAAAAAGTAACTTAAGTTTTTCAGACGCCTTGAGCGATCATAACTATACATCACAAGAAGAGTTTAAGTGTCGGCAATGCCTGGATTGTGTTGAAAATATGCTGATAAATATTATTTTTCCAAATAGAGTTGAATCTGAGCCCGTTTCGTCAAACGTCAAAGTTTTCATAGACACCACAATACAGAAATTAAAAAAATATCAATTAGAAGTGGATGTATCGAATGCAAAATGCCAGGCCAATGGCAGTCAAACATCGTTATATACAGAAAATTGTACTGCAGAGTTAAACAGTTCAAACTGTTCAGAGCCCTTGGAAGTCGATCTAAATGATCATTACCTTGAAAATCTTTATACACACTTTGGGAAAGAAAAGATTAACCTTAAACCTACATTAATGACCACGTTAAATGTAGCAAAACAGTTAATAAATGAGTGCTATGCGCACAATTCAAAGTCTGAAGAGGAATTTAAAGTGAATTTACTAACAAAAATAAAACAACTTCAAGAAATTGCCACTCCCGGAAGTCCATCAGCAAGTCGAGCTCTAGATAAATCATTTAAACATTCAAAGATGACGAAACATCAAAAAAACCATAAAGCAAAAATGAGACTACTTTTGGATACATCTAGTTCGTTGAATACAGACTCCGAGCTCAAAAGTAGCTGTGATGATCTAAACGAAAAATCTTCAAGTGAATGTAGTTCAAAACCGTCGCCAGTACGCCGCTCGTTCTACTCAAGTAAACACAGGAATTTGCAATGTGATTATAATGATGGTGTTGATCTTTCCAAATACATTAAATTGAATGTAAATAACAATCTAAAATTTGGTGAAGTCGATATAAAGACTATAAAAACTACGAGATCATGTGCATCGGACAACGATACAGACAAAGAAATCGACAGGTTTGTTTTTGACAAGACAAGGCACTTGCTTTGAAGGAATCATTTTGTTTAATTCAATTAAAATAACTTTTAATTTTTCTCTGAAGATTGACAAATTTGAGTGCGTTGAATACACGTCATGGACATAAAAGTTACATCAAATCAAAGAAAAAGAGTCAGCTGAGTTTGTCTCAAAGGAGTAATCTTAAAAAGGATGATTGCTTTGTAGAAGACGAGGATCAATATGAAAGTGATACCGTAATTGAAGTGAGTATGAGGTCACATATTTCTCGCCTAGAAAACATCATCACTTAAAAATAAAATATTTTTAATTCTAGAATGATGACATTTTAACCGAGGGACAGTTTCTAACGCGTTGTAATGAACAAATCAAGTTGCAACTGTTAAATGATTCAAGTAGTGATTCGGGATTGTCAAATCAAAGTGGGTTTGATGATTCAAAAGAAATTTTTTCTGAAGAAGGTGAAAACATAATTAGTAGTGTGGACAAGTTTTTACAGAACTTTAATTCTGATAAAATCGTCTCATGTGAAGAGGAAAAACCCAAAGGTCTTGTTGATGACAATGAAATTCACTTTAACATTAACCTGCCACACAATAAAATTGACAAAGATGATCAAGAAAAGTCAGACATTAGATCATTGAAACAAGAAGGTGAGAAGCTTAGTAAACATGAAGAAATCGTGCTTAGCTCGGAGAGTGATTTTTCAGATTGTGACGCTGATCTTCAGAAATCAAGATTGATAAAACCAATGCTTCGAATTGATCAGCTAGCCAATGAAACTAAAGCTGCACAAAAAACCGAAAGTGAACGGGTTCGACGGCTTGAAAAGAAACAATTGGAACTGTCCAAAGCAATTAAAAAGAATTTTGAATCTATAAATAAGTCGGAGCTAATACTTGATTACATCGAGAGGACTAATACATTTGTTAAAGTGGACAGTGATATAGTCAAACAACTAAAACCACACCAAATTGATGGTGTTAAATTTATGTACGACTCTTGTTATGGCGGTGTGGATGAGCGAAAAAAAAATTCTGGATCAGGATGCATTTTAGCTCATTGCATGGGCCTGGGAAAAACTCTACAGGTAACACAATCACTACAAATGTTAACAAAAACTAAAACAAATATAATTTTTTTAGTTGATAGCTTTGCTGCACACCGTGATTTCTTACAAGGAACTAAACACGGCAAAGGTCTTGGTACTATGTCCAAAAAGCACGGTTATGAACTGGGCTGATGAATTTCATTATTGGCTAAGTCCTTTGAAAATAAAAAACTATTTAAAGGTTTTCATTTTTCCGGATTCATCGTGAGTTTGATTTAACGTATTAAGTATGAAGTTGGTGATATGTATTTACATACATACATAATATGTATGTATATTAACTCAGAGGCATTACATCATGAAACTTTTATTTGTACTTTGAACGAGACAACGAAAATAGGTCTTCATCTTACTGAGAATTAGACCCACACTTTTTTTTAGAAATCAGAACTATCATGTTTGAATAATTCCAATATTTCCAAACACCGTTCTTGAACTCGTTCATTTATTTGTATTTATATTTCTAGTGATATTGCAGAAAAGTTGCGGGTTTTGGAAGAATGGTCCTTATCGTCGGCTAGCAGAGCGGGCTGCTTGTTAGTGGGTTACGAGGCATTCCGAGCTCTTGTTTTTTATCACTCATACAAATATCGAGGGAACGTGGCTTCTTCAAAATTGGAAAATGTTCGAGATAAAGTCCACAAATACCTATTACAGCCTGGTAAATATCTATTAATTTTTCATTATTTTTGAAAATGAATCATTTGTTTTTCAACAGGTGCCGATTTAGTCGTATGTGATGAAGGACATATTATTAAAAACAGCAAATCTGCCATAAGTCTTGCCGTATCAAAAATAAAAACCCCAAAACGAATAATATTAACCGGAACGCCCATACAAAATAACCTCAAAGAATGTAAGTTTGTCGTAGTGTCACAAAGGGATCCCATTCCTGCAATTATTTATATTTGATGTCCTCTGCACACTGCCTTCATTTCAACAAATAAATATATTTATAGATTATAGCATGGTAAACTTTATAAAACCGTTATACCTGGGCACTGAAAGGGAGTTCGCAAATTTATATGCAAATCCAATAAAGAACGGCCAACATAAAGATTCCAGTAAAAAGGATATTACAATAATGAAGCAGCGATCCTACGTTTTACATAAAAAGCTATCCAAATTTGTTCAGGTAACT